ATTCATTTTCAATTTTCAATAAAAACATGCCATTGTGGCATGATTGTGGGTTAAAAAAAAAAAAAAAAAAAAAAAAAAAAGCATTCGATAAATTTTCTGAATAATATTATTAAATATTGATTGATTTTTATTTAATAGTACGAATTAATTAATTCAATAAAAATAAATTTTATTTTGAATTTGAAAATAATATAAATATTGAATTATAAAGTACTGAATTTTATCTAGTTATATATGAATGCATAATTTTTATTTATAATATTTTTGATTAATTTATTTTATTTAGATATAGAATATAAAATCAGTAAAATTATTGTAAATATTTAATTGTAGATTCTTTAATTAATAAATATAATATATAATTAAAAATTTAATAAATATATGAATTTTGACAAAATTAAAATTTTAATAGATGCCTAACAATTTTTTGAGAAAATTTTTAATGAAATATATAGTAAAAATAATATAAATTATATGACTTATAATGTCAAATTATATAATAGAAATTGATTGATAATTTATTTATATCAAATTATATAGTATAAATTATTTAAAAATTTATTTATATTATTAATATACTAAATTATTTATTTTTTTGATAAATGTCACACAAGTGGCATTATGTCAAATAAATATTTTTCAACTAATATAATAATATAAAAGACAATTTATCTGTACTTAATATTTAATTGTTTATAATAAACCATAAATTTTTATAGAATTAAGAAAATATATTCAGACACATACAGTAGATAATCAATAAAAGTTTATTTACATTTTTTTTACTAATATATATTTATTATTCAATTATTGCATAAGAAATTTTGTGTTATGTAAAATTTAGGGTTAAATAGATATAAATAAAATTTTTCAACCAAAATCAAGAAAAAGTACTATTATAGTTCCAACAATAAGTGTAATACATCCATAATAAGTTTTTTATTACATCAAAAAACTCCTATATATAATTTTATAGTAAAACTTCAGTTCTTTTTTCTTTTAATTTTTTTTTAAATCATAAAAATCAAATTTTATTTAAAAAAAAATGTTAATCAAAAGAAAAAAAAAATAATATGACTTTTAAAGTTTTCTTCAAGTTAGTTTAAAAAAAGTAATAGGACTTTATTAATAGGAATATATAATAATTTCTTATAAAAATCTTTTTTATATATAATTAAAGAATTAGTAAAAAGTTTTTTGTGAATTAAACTTTTTGAATTCTTTTATAAAGTAACATTAATTATATCAAATTTTTCATTACTTTCTCAAGAATTATTATGATTAATCACTAGAAAGCTTTTGCATACCTTGATCATAATATTTTAAATGTTAATATTTATTGTGAAATAGGATTATCAACTTGCCACTAATCATTTAAATTTTCTTGCTCAATATATTATATAGAAAATATGATATTATTATCTAAACAAGAAGATGCACTAGAAATTTTTCAAAAATTAATATAATCGGATAAAAATGAAGAAACCAAAACCACAAATGAATTAGCTATTTACCTTTCCTTACCTCCGGAACCAAATACCCAATCCATTGTTATGGTGGAAAGCTAATGCCCTTCGCTTTCCAATAGTAGCTTGTACGGCTGCAGATTGCAAACCACGCGTTCCTTGTGAACGTGCTTTTTCTATAGCAAAGAACACTCTTAGTCTTGAAAGAAATAGTCTTCTTGAAGAGACAACAAGAGCCTCAATATGTTTGAAAAGCTGATTGGAAGCCGATATTCTATAATAAATAAAAAATTAGGAGCCGATCGAACCGAACTGAATATGCGACAAAAGCACGTGTTTACGCGTAATTTAAGATCAACGATTAATCATGACTTCCTATCCAAGTGCATTATCTCAGGAAAGTATTTGGCTTGAATATATTTATGGCTCACCACAGTATCCTACGATGCGCGGGAACTGCTCCACTCACTGTGGCCTCCTACGATCGATGTTTGGAAATTAGGCGTCATGCTCCTGCTAGGAACAGCTTAGCAAATGAGATTGGTGTCTTCTTTCCAGTATACTGGACATAATTCCCTACGATGTGTCGAAACTGCCTCGCTTATTGCGAGCCTTCTTCGATCGGTGCTTGGAGAGGAATTGTCATGCTCCTGTTAGGATTAGCCTAGCAAATGAGATTGGCAACTTTTTTCCAGAGATCATTGTGTCGATTGCCAATCACTTTCATTTTTTCACCAAAAATTATTGACTTTGTACTAACAATGTTTTTTATTTTTATTTCAGTATGAACATTTCGGACGGAATCAACGACTACTTGAGAGAAACAAATTATTCAAAATGGTCTGTCATAGATTGTCTAGGATTTATTGAAAAATGTTGTACAGTGACATCTGAAAATCGTGAAGACATTATAGCGGAATTTAGACGTCAGCTTCAATTAACAAGTACACATTATTCAGTAAACAAAAATGCACGGAATAAAGCCACAAAGCTTTGTAATGACGCGGAGAGAATTTTCCAATTCAAAGAGGTTACTGCATTTTGCGACCGAATGGATAAAAAAGTAAGCAGATTTTTTTTCGCCCGCATTATTTGACCTTTTACAAAAACTAACTGGTCTACAGGCGAATGAAAACCTATTTGAAACAAAAACTGCTCTATACGGATCAGAAGTTGCGGTACAAATGATGGACACAAAGTTAGGCTCTTTTCGATTAGAAATACCTTCTGCAGTAAGCTGTCATTCCACAACAATATCCACTGAGCACGATTCTGAAATTGAAAAAATATCAAACGAAGTTGAGGATTATTTTTTTTTACTATCTTGACGCGGGTTACTTAATAAATTTTTCTTAAGTATAGCTCCAAGAATCCTAATACCAATCAAATTGTTTACGAAAATATATAGATGCTAAGCACTCACGACGAAGATGTAAATAACCCAGAAATTGATAGTATTGTTGTAGATAAGGTATTTATAATGAGAACAGTTTTTTGGCACAATCTTTAAAGCAAAAATTTGAAATTTTCATTACTATTGCAGATATCTGATTTGATACTTTCTAATTTAAATCTTGAGGAAATTTGGGACAAAGTTATGGAAAGATTAAAGCAAGAAAATTTGCGAGTGCAGTACGTTACAATAATGCATTGTGACCAAATATTTTTAGTAAATAATATTTGTTCTCCGCTCAATTATTAAAAAAAAAAAAATCCAGGTCCATTGAATCACAAATTGTAGATCTCTCAAATTGGAAGAAAGTCGATTGGAGCAGAATACTAAAAACACCTGATTACGCTCAATTGTTTAACAGATCAAAGAAGAAATTATGTAAGGATTCAATTGACAAGGAAGTACAAGATTTGTTACATGATGGATGTGGCCAAATTGTAAGTTTGTTCGTAGTTACATTGCTTCTTTAAAACGCGATTATAGATTATTATTGTATTTTTATAGAGGTCATTAAATGATTTAAAATTATGGAAAAGCAAATTTTCAGTTTTAAAATCTGAAGATTCCCAATTAGCTGTCGGAGTTATTGAATTTTTGTAAGTTATGGTTAAACATTTGAACGAAACAAAAGGATTGTTTTTTTTATGGATACTAACTGAAATTTTATTTAGCCATCTCTGTTTACGAAGGGAAATAAATATTCTTGTGATGCAACATCGGGAAAGGGATTACATTGTTAAGATACTAAGTCCAATTATTGGATTCATATTTGAAGAATTTGATATTGGCACTTTCGAGCTTAACTGGTAAGTGTCAAAACTTCACATTGCAAGGATCTTTCAATAATATCCACTTTTAAAATTGTATGACGAATTTTTTAGGGTTGAAAAAGACTCTCGTAGTGTTACACATGGAAAGCGAAAATTTGTACATGAAGAATACATGGAGTTAGAACCACCATCGAAAAAGATGGATTTAATAATATCATTACGTTCTTACAAGGTTGAATTATTGGTTCTAGAAGCGGGAAATACTGAAGGCCCCATGGATGATACCAAGTTCCGGCAAGATCATTCTAAAATCAAAATAGTAATGAAGGACTGTCTTGATTCATTTCGGTATAAATTACATTTAAAAAAAAGTGAACTTGAAGAGGTCTTTGTAATGAGCATTCAGATTACAGGTATGCGTAAAAATTCAATTTATTTATTAAGTGCAATTTAAGTTTTTCTGTTAAAAATTTTCTTATTTCATATAGGCACAATGTGGACGATTTATTCCCTTATATACAATGCATCAAAAAGATTTTATTTTTTTACCGAGATGGCGACGTTGACGTTGCCAACAATTTATCCGAGATGGAAGACCTTTTGCCAGGTTTCTTGAGAAATCTTCTAGCATTACGGGTATATATATAGTTACAGTACATGATATATTTTCCTTTTTAATCGTTTCATAAGTGTTCACATTATTTTGATATTTATTATCTAGCATACGCATATAGAGCTGGTTACAAAGATTCGAAAATATTCTCAAAAGACTCTCTACCCCATCTCCACCTTCATCACCATTGCACGAAACCACAGAGGCTCCTTTTAAAAGACAAAAACTAAAGAAAGATCCTTTTTGTATTTTAGACAATTTATACTAATTAATATTTCACTTGACTGCTCATTGTCATAATTTTCAATGCACATTTTTTTCATATCTAATATTCACTGTAAATTTTAATCTTGTGGACAGTTACAGAAGCATATAAACTTTACTCATAAGGTCTAATTCTCAATTTTTACATGTGCGTTGCAATTTGTAACGCCAGTCACTTTCGTCAAAAATAAATACACATACTTGCTTTATTGTTACAATAAAATATAGATACCCGTTATATGATATAACCTTATCACTGCGAATCGAGCCCTCTCCCATACACAATTTCGGACGTGATGCCAATTCGAGCTGGGATAAATTACTATGAAGTCAAAATATTTCAGCAATTTCAGATTCTCTATTATTTAAATCATTGATTCATAATATTTTCTAAATTTTTTTTTATTAAAGTAAAGAGTTATAAATCTTGTCTTTCAAGAAGAGATACTATACAAGTAATTTGCAGAATTTTATATATTAAATATTATAGAAATCTATTTTTTTTTTTTTTTTTTAATTCATAATTATGTCACTATAGTATGTCTTTATTGAGAAATAAAATAAAATTTACAATAAGTTATAGATTTTTCGCAAAGTAAATAACTTGTTTTTATACATAAGTATTCTAAGTCAGATTTTGAAAACAATATTATACTCCTTTGATAGATTGGTTATGATCCTTATCTACCAGGATCATTGTCAATGGTTTGTTACTTATAATAATCTGAAAACCAATGAATTGTTAAGTTAAAAGAAAAAAAATGATTGGAAGAAGGGAACAATTCAAGATTTATCAAAAAAGTTCAAAAATAAAACAATTTTCTTTCAAAAGGGATCTGCTTGATTGGGATAACCTGTTTGCTTCACTTGAATCTCAAAAGAAATTTTCTTTTTTATTACTTGTGATATTAAACAAATCAATCCAACTGGTTCTTCATTTAAGCAAGTATCAGATTGAGATATCTTAAGAAAAGTATTTAAACCTTAACTTTTATCTATTAAAGCTTTATCATTATCATCTAAAAAACTTAAATAAGAGATAGAAGTTTGTAATCTACTATATATTATCCATCACTTAATTTTTTGATATCATAAATATCTTCATTATGGAACTTGAGCTTTTGGAAGCAAACATTTTTGGAATATTTTTTTCAATCACCAATATTTTAAAAATCTATTATTACATTAATTAAAAAATATTTATTTAATATAATATTACTTATTTAATATTTATTAAAAAAAAATAAATAATTTGGCAAATTAATAGCATAAATAAATTATTAATTTAAATTTTTTTTAACTTACAACTATATAAAAATAAATTCCTAAAAGGAGTGGTAGAGACAAAAATCAAATATCTCTTACTAAAAAACATTAAAAATTTTAAATTAATAACTATAAAAAAACTACACACAATTGTTCATCATTATTTAAATCATTGATTTATATCATTTTCTGGTATTTGTCCCTATTAAAGTGAAGAGCTATAAATTTTGTTCCTCAAAAATGAGCATAAGTGATCTACAGAATTTTATATACTAAATACTTTAGGGACTTATTATTACTACCATATCATATAATTTAATCTTTATTAAAAAGTTTGTATAATTACAGTACCTATAGTATTATAGATTTTTCATATAATAACTAATTTATTATTATACTGAAATATTTTAAGTTAAATTTAAGAAACAATATTTTACTTTTCTAAATAATTAATATAAATTTTTATTCATTAGGTTTATTATTAACAGTTTATTACTATATATTATCCAAAAATCACGAATAACTAAGTTAAAAAAAAAAATAACTTAAGATCCTATTAAAAAGTTTAAAAAAAAAACAATTTCTTCTTAAAAAAGATTTGCCTAATTGAAATAGCCTTTCTGTTTCTCCTGAATTTCAAAGAAATTTTTTTTGTATTATTATTTTTTTTTTTTTGCCCTCTGTCAGGCTAGTTACATATGCTTTATTAAATATTTGTAAGCTGTACATATAATATGAGATGCTAAAGCTAATTCTTTAACTAACTCAC